TTTTAATAAATACAATAATAATAATTAATGTTTTAGATAAAATATTATATAAAAATTCTTTCATTTGAAAAGTTCTATAGAAAATAAGAAAAAGAAAATTTACTTAGAAAAAAAAAACTTAAAAAGTAAAATAAAATATATTTAAAGAATATGTCATTATTACCACAATCATATCAATTAATTCATGTATTTACATCACCTCTACAACAGTGTTTGAAACAACATTATTTTATTTTTTTTTAAGAAAAAGATATAAAGATTAAAATATATTCATAAGTAGGTGAGTTTAAAACATGTGTTGTACATACATCACACACTCATCAAATTATTGCATGTATTAGAGAAGAAACAACTAACAATAATACAAAAACATTTTTATTAATTTCAGTTCATTCAAATAAAGCAAATTTTAACCAAAATATTCAATTAGATACTGTACATTTACCAACAAGGTCATATTGTGCAATTGATCAAAATGGACAAGACGTAATTGTTTTATTTGAAGATTATTATTATTTTTCATACACTATAATGAGGAATAATTTTTATGAACCAAAATTAAGAAATGTTATTTTACCAAAGTCAAATAAAATTGGTGGTGTTAATTGTTTTACTGTATTTTCACATTGTGGATTACCAGTAGGGGTTTTTGGTACAAGAAATGGAATAGTTGGATTTTTTAATGTTAATAGTGGAATGTTAATTCAAACAATTAGTATAAGTAAAAAGCCAATTGAAGAAATTCAATTAAGTCAATCAATACTTTTAATTCAAACAGGAAAGATGATATATATAATTAGGATTAAAGATAGTGATGAATTAATAATAGAAAATCCAATAAAGTTTTGTACAAGTGATATCTTTTATGTAAATAAAGGACAAATTGGAGTTAATATTAATAATAAATTACAAATATGGAATATTGGAATTAAAGGACCAATACTACTTAAAGAAATTGATTATTCAAATAGAGTATATACAAAAACAAATATTACAGCATGTTCTATTGGAGATTTAATTTTTATTTCAGACACAAAATGTATTAGTATAATATATGATTCTACTGTTATTTATTGTGAAAAATTAATGGAAAAACCAAAAGGAATTATTCCATTTCAATTACCAACAATGGAAGATATTAAATTATTTGAAGGAATTGTAATATGGAATGAAAATCAAATTATATTATGTAGACCAACAAAGTCTATTGAACAAATTATTATTAATCAATTAAAAATTGAAGAAGATATAGAAAAACAAAATAAAATGTATTCAATTTTAAGAGGATATGAAAGTTCTAAAGAAACAATAATTGCAATAGCAAAAATTCTTGTAAAAGAATATCCAATAAAATCACATAAATTATTAGAAACATTTAATATATTTAATTATTCTATTTATCAATATATTTTCATTCATCATAAACTTTCAATTCAAGAATATGATTTAATATTACAATCTATTGAAAAACATTCTGAAGAAAGTACTGAAATTGCAGATTTAATTGTATCAATTTATATTATTAAAGATTATTATTATGGAATTACTTCTGATTCATCATTTATTAAATATTTAAATCAAAAAGTATTATATAATAGAACAAAAGCAATGACTAAATTAGTTGAACATCCTAAATTATTTTGGAGATATATTTTAGAATTATTATTATTGTGTGAATTAAAAGTTGTTAAAGTTTATTGTAAAACAATAAGAAGTTTATCAATGAATATTGTAGAACCACAATTATTTATTTCATCTTTAATTAAAAATGTTCCTAAATCAATTTTTGAAATTTTAAATACATCTCCTTTATATGACAGTTTAACTATTCTTCAAAAATTTGATATATTATGTAAAGCAATTAAATTATCTCCTAATCTTTCTCATATCATTCAATTAGAATCTTTATTATTTCAACTTAAACCTCAACAATTAGATTGTTTAACTCAACTTATTAAACCAAAAACATTAACTTTTAGTTGTATTTGTATGATTAATGATTATGCTAAATATGATTTATATGACTTATATGTTAAAGCAGTTTTATTACAACAATTACCATCAATATCTGGTGATGTTGATAAAATTATTGATTTAATAAAAAGTTTTGATAATCTTTTATTTGATTTCTCTAGAATTTATCAATTTTTAGAATTAAATACTTTTATATTAGAATCTGCTATTTTACTTTATCTTTATGGACAATATGAAACAGCATTAGAATATCTTTTTAATAAATTAGAAACTTTATCAAATAAAGAAGATATTGAAATATTTATTCTAAAATATATTATTGGAAAAATGACTGAAAATGAGTTACTTTCAATTATTAATAATAATAATTATATTAGTTCTGTATTATTAAATTTATTATTAAATAAAAATCAATTCATTTGTTACTTTACTCCAACTGTTATTACCCAATTAGAACTTAATTATATTAAAATTACTTCTTCTTCTTCTTCTAAATTACTTAATAAACAAAAATGTTTAGAAAGAATTATTCTTTCAGTTGATGGAACAGCTCAAAGATTAATAACAACGGCTAAAGCACCTTCAGAAATTATAATTTTTTGTCCAAAGAAACATAAATTTACTATTCGTTCATTAAAACAAAAAGCAAAAACTACAACAAAAATAGATCCAACAAACGACGTTATTAAAGAAATGAATAAATTAATTAATGCATTTTTACTTGAAAATGAATTTTCAAACAATAAATTGATTTGTCCATTATGTGTTAAATCAATTCTTGAACCAAATAAATTAGAAAAAGATGAAGAGAAATAATTGAATTTAAATATCTTTAAAACCATTATATTTTTGATAAATTATACTTAGAAGATCACTATTATTTTGAATTTGTTCTGGTCTATTTGCAAATGCCCATTGTAATCCTTCATATACCATTTTTTGCCATGTACCTTGTTGGTCAGCTTGAACAAAATTTGTTGCAAAAGATTCTCCCATAATACAAAGTATTTCACCTACAACATCTCCACTACCATCTTTTGCATTAAAATAATCTAATGCTTCACCTAAATCAACTCCACAACAAATTAAATCCATTACTTTTTGTGCTACTTCATATAAACTTAAATTTTGTACATAAATTTGGTTTGCTTCAATAAATGATATATATTCTTTTAATTGTCTTGCTTTTTCTTCATCACCATGAAGTATAATACTCTCACCTTTCATTATTGTTCCTGCTTTTTGTTTAAAAAGAATATCAAGTATTCCTCCTTTTCCACTTCTTTCTATTACTTTTTTATCAACTTCAAATTGTTGGTTGTTTATTATAATTTTAACAATACTATTAGTATTACAAAAGCTTTCAAAAAATGCATTTTGATTCATTATTTCTTTATTTCTTTTTCAAGTTTTTCTTTGTCTTTTTTTAATTTTCTTTATTAAAAAAAAAAGATGAAAAAATAAAAATAAATAATAACTCTTTCTTTATTGAAGAAAAGCTTAACTTATTTAAATGCCATCTGGATAATTTGTTTGCCATCTCCAAGAGTCTTTGCACATATCTTCTAATGTTAATTTTGCCTTCCATCCTAATTCTTCTTCTGCTTTTTTACATTCAGCATAAATAGCTGGAATATCTCCTGGACGTCTTCCAACAATAGTATAATTAATCTTCTTACCTGATGCCTTTTCCATTGCATGAATAACTTCTAATACAGTACATCCATTTCCTGTTCCAAGATTATAAATATTTAATCCTTGTTGCTTTAATAATACTTTCAATGCAGCTACGTGACCTTGAGCAAGATCAACAACATGAATATAATCTCTAATACAAGTTCCATCTCGAGTATTATAATCATTTCCAAAGACTGATAATTGTGGTAATTTACCTACTAAAACTTTTGTTATAATTGGCATTAAATTGGTTGGAATTCCTAATGGATTTTCTCCAAGTAAACCACTTTTATGTGCACCTATTGGATTAAAATATCTTAATAAAATTACTGATGCCTCTTTATGTGCTTTACTAAAGTCAGTTAAAATTTGTTCAGTCATTGCTTTAGTTTGACCATATGGATTTGATGGCTTTTGTAAAGGTGTTGTTTCTTTCACTGGCATAACTTCAGGTTCTCCATAAACAGTTGCTGAAGAAGAGAAAATAATTCTCCAAATGTTGTGTCTTTGCATCGAGTCTAATAAATTCAAAACACCATTCAAATTATTTCTATAATATTCAATTGGTTTAGAAACAGATTCTCCAACTGCTTTTAATGCAGCAAAGTGAATAACAAAATCAATGGTGTGTTTATTTAATATTTGATCAATTTCTTCAATATTGAGTAAATCAGCTTTATAAAATGTAATTCTTTTGGGATCAGCTTTTGTAATTTGAAGAATATGTGATATAACTGTTTCATGTGAGTTAGTTAAATTATCAATAATAACAACATCATATCCAATTTCAATAAGTTCAACAACAGTATGACTTCCAATAAATCCAGTTCCTCCTGTAACAAGAGCAGTAGGTGCCATTTGATTTTTATTTAAAGATTAAAACAATTTTAGATTAAATAATTGTTTGATTAGAAACTAATAACTAAACTATAATTTAATAATAAATTAATTTTAAAATAAAAGTATTACTTTATGTGAGTTAAAAGAGCAGAGTCTATCTGAGAAAGTTAATGTTGTAAGAAAAGGTATTATTAACAGTATTATAACTAACCAATTTATGACTTTAAAGAAAGTCAATAATTTATAACAATAGTATTTGACGTTATTAATTTATAGTTTTTATTACCTTCAATTTAAATGTGTTAATTTAATTCATTTATATTCTTATGTTAGTTAAACTATTATAAATAAGTTATTAAATGGTTCTTATGAAATTATCGAGAATAGTATTCCATTTGAACGATGGGAAAATTTTAATGAAAATTACTTAGAAATTAATAATAAACGTTGTTTAAAATTTCAATTTCTTGGAGAAGTTTTATTTCACAGAGACTAAGTAATTTTATTTCTTCTAATTATAATATTCCAATAAAATGTTTATGTTGATAGGAGAGGTGATTCTTCTCATTTATCTAGAATAGTAAATGGCTCTCATTCTTTTCTTTCTTAAATCATTCCAATCCAACAGTATCATTCAACTAAATATTATGTATTTATTCTAATTATGTATTTATTCTAATACACCATTAAATTTTTTAACTTTTTTTATATTTTCAGTAATAATTCGTTCAAGAAGATGCATTACAGGAGACACTACATAAAACATATAAAATAACAAATAATCAAAGAAAGAGAAGTTCAACTATCAAATATAATTATAAA